ATAAAATAGAAACAATACTTTCTAAGGAATTATCTTTGAAGAAGAATTAAAATGATTTTTAAAGGATTTTGGTGATCGGATTAAAATATTAACCATTTTTATTCACAGCTCCATTGATGAGATTTTTTTCCCCCTTCAACTGTAAATTGTTATACAGAGAAAAACAAACACAAACAAAACTCCCAAGAACTTGAAAAAAAATGATTAGAAATATTTGCCTAGGTTATTCCTTTTCAGTTTTTTTCAAATAAAAGCAACTATATTTTTATAAACTTTTACTAACTAAAAATAAATTTTAAGATGTTTTATTTTTTACTTTAAAAATTTTTAATTTTGTGTTGGGGTTAGCCAATTAACAAACAGTATTGTGATAGTTAGTTTCAGGTGATCAGTGAAGGGACTCAGCCATACATATACATGTATCCATTCTCCCCCAAACACCGCTCTCATCCAGGCTGCCCCACAAACACTGAACAGAGTTCCATGTGCTATAGAGTAGACCCTTTTTGGTTATTTAAAATGGATAATATGGAGCTAGTGGTAAAGATGCATGCCAACGCAGGAAACGTAAGAGACAGTGGTTTGGGTCGGGAAGATCCCCTGGAGGAGGACAAGGCAACCCACTTGGGTTTTCTTGCTTGAAGAAAGAATCCCCGTGGACACAAGAGTCTGGTAAGCTACAGTCCATGGGGTTGTAAAGAGTCGGACACGACTGAAGCAACTTAGCACTCACGCAACTGATAAGGATGCCTTTAAAAAATAAAAATTAAGCTGGTGGATGAATCCCATACCTTATATTTGGTTGATAGGATGAACTGAAGTTGTAGAGTTCTTCCCATCCACTGAAATATTGTTTTAAAACAAGTCTTTCATCTGCCTTTTCCTCCTTGACTTTACTGCAGTTAACTATGTAAGCAAAAAAGAACAAAGTTTCAAAACAGGAGTCTATAATTATATTACTATTAGCTATTTCACTTCAGAAGTTTTAAAAATATTTACTGAGCTATGAAAACCAGCATATTTTCCAGAAATTCTTTACTAAATCAGAATTAATCTGCAGTGTTTCTGCAGGCTCAAATTTCGCACAGTCTGTACCTACTGCAGAAATAATTTATGCAAATGCTTCCATGCCAAGTTTTCATAATATCCAGGAAATCTGATATATGAGAACATTCTTACTTTTGTCAGTAGTAAAAATCTTAGTAGTTCCAATACACAAAGGTAGACATTTAACTCTAAACAAATTTATGTGAAAATTCTGTAGCCAGCAGAATACATGATCAGAGTAGTCTATACTTATTATTAAACTGTGTATTTTTTAATTCCTTTTACTCTGTTAACAAAAGCCTGGATAGCCAAGGCTATGATTTTTCCAATAGTCATGTATGAATATGAGAGTTGAACCATAAGGAACGCTAAGCACAGAAGAATTGATGCTTTCAATTGTGGCGCAGGAAGACTCTTGAGAGTTGCTTGGACTGCAAGATTAAACCAGACAATCCTAAAGGAAATCAACCCTGAATATTCATTGGAAGGACTCATGCTGAAGCTGAAGCCCTAATACTTTGGCCCCCTGATGTGCAGAGCTGACCCATTGGAAATGACCCTGATGCTGGGAAAGAGTGAAGGCAAAAAGGGACAGGGGAGGCAGAGAATGAGATCATTAGAATCACGGACTCAATGGACATGAGTTTGAACAAACGCCAAGAGATAGTGGAGGGCAGGGAAGCCTGGTATGCTACAGTCCATGGGGTTCCAAAGAGTCAGACAAGACTTAGCGACTGAATAACAACTCTGTCTGCAAAAAAAATTTAGCCTGTACTAAGAATGACTGATCATAGGCTGAAGTTACAATCCTAGGAAGAAGTTGTAGGATTCCTGTATCTTTTTCCTTTTTTAATTCTAATTCTACTCTGCCTTCCTAATTTTCAACATCTTTTTCTTAGGCAGTAAGTGTTCCAACTCCAATTTCCTTCCTTTCTCTCATTCTTTCTTGAGTAGTCTTTCACACTTTTTTCAATCTCTATATGGTTTCCCTGCATGCCTCTTCATCATATGGAAGTTTCAGATAATCTTGATCTATTAATCTTTGCTCAAGGTGTTTAATATGTCATCTTGAAGAGCATATTAAACGTACCATTTATTGCCATACAATGAAATAAATATTGTATTTATTACAAAAAGCTAGAATTTTAGAGGGCGTGAAAACTGAAAAGACTGCAACCACATTGCCCCCAAATTAGTTAAAAATACAATTTTGCTTTTTTGAAGAAGTCCAAAATGTACATGCATGCTTCAATTAAAGTAATTTCTTGCAAAAATTTCTGACTGTAAAATTTTAGCATGTTAGTGAAGTTGGAGGTTTGAGGGATTGATTTTTTGGACTGGGTGTTGGTTTGCTAATGCCTAGGTGCTATGCAGTTTATACATATTTAAATCTTGTGACAATCCTGTGAGACAGGATTATCAGCCTCAAATAATGTTTGATGTTAAAGGTGAAATGGTCTAACCTCAGGCAGACCTGCATTTGATGCTACTTTCTAGTTCCTATCTGGCTCAAGTTTCTAGTTTTACTGCTCACTCCACTACTCTCCTCCTGCGGGCTGACCTTCACTTACGCTCTCCCCTTCTCTTGAAATGAAACTGGTATTCACAGTCTATTTCAAAAAATACTTAAACCAAGACAGCACACTGCAGGGTCCAGCAAAAAGAGTTTAATCCAGCAGTGTGGGGATCTAACTTGTCTTACACAATCTTTTAATCAGCGCTTTTGTTTTTAAGTCCTTAAACTTCGTCCTGAACTTTCAGAAGAACCCAGGGCCTCCTAATGCTGAAACATTTCAGGTTTCTGATAAGGAAATCCATTTTCTCCTTTCAGCTTCCCCCTGCCACCCTCCTACCCCCTTAAGTCATACACCATGAGTTTAATTTCTTTCCATTGTCTCATTTGGTCCATTGTCCTCCCCTGTTTTCTTCATTCTTATAGATTTTTACCACCACCATCACAATCACCACCACAACCATCACCACTGTCCTTTCTTTTTTTAGAAAGAAAAGGAAGATTAAGAAGAGGAATGGATGTAGGTAGTCACCTTGTTATATTTTGTCGGAAGTCTAAAATCTTTCTTCTCTTTAATCATCAGCCTGGTGTGAAAATCATGGACTTTGGAGTCAGATTCCCCACCTTTTGCAAGTTGGGGCACGGAGAGAACATATATTTGTTTGGTATGCTGGGGTAAGTGGCAGCACCGACATGACAGGTCAGTGCTCCTTGAATTACAGGGGTGCCAAGGCATCCACCACATTGTCTCAAGGTGGTAAACATGGGGATTCCACTTCCTGCTTCTTCGTACCGGTTGGGAAATGCAGGAGCTAACACATCTGAAAGTGCCAGCACAATGTTGACACACAGGACGAACCCGCAGAGATCTGCTTGCTTCCTTTATATGCATCCCCGCCCCCAGTCAGTCTCAACTTACACAATGCAGGGGCTAACACATTTGTCAATGACTATGATGGACGTCACTGTGACACCACGGAGGATGATCTGGGCTCTGAGCATCCTGTGGACCAGACAGCAGCATCACACAGCTGGGCAGAGGAGAGGAGGAGGCCAGGAGTGTATCTGGCTTCCAAACTCTGAACTGAAGTGACAAGTGCCTTTGCTTTGGGAAATCACTGGCCCTGAGGCCTTAGGAAGAGTTGGTTGCAGGTGTTAAGGAAAAGTCTAGTGGCTTGTGTTTTAGATGAAAGGAAAGAGCTGAGGTGATTAAAGATATGTTCTTTGTTTTATTATATTTAGCCCTGTTCTGTTTAACCTTCATTTTCACATTATTCTTTTCCTGCACACACAAACAATCTGTTGACAGCTTCTCAAGTTTACAATCTTCCTAGGGTCGGGGCATTCATTCTTTGTTACTCCGGATTTGGGCATACACATCTTAACAGTTAAAAGTGCAAATGCAGTCACACCAAACAGCATGTGGCATGATATAAGGCAAACGAGATAGACTCTGAATTTCACTAATGGGTAAAGAAAACAAACCCAAAACCCCAAACCGCAAACCAAACCGAACAGTGAGGAGTTTAAAGAATGCTAAGCCCACCAGATAGTAACTTACACAGCCTGACTTTCTTTTTTGCTTCCTCAGCTTCCTCTTTTTTGATTCATTTCACCTTGACTTTGCTCTTCCTTTTACTGAAATTTTTGTTGTTGTTGTTGTTTTTTAGTTTTTTGACTCATCAAAAAACAACAACAACAATAAACACCCAAAAAACCGGCCAAAGAAACCCCAAAGAGGCAAATGGGAAGGGAGAGAAAGCAACAGGTCGCCCTGCTTTCTGCCGAGCTCGCGTGGGGAGTCCGATCCGAAGGTCCCATCCCGGGGTCGGTGCTGGGGTACCTTCCAGCGGCCTGTTAATCACCCCCACCAGGCTCTTCCCAATTCGGTTGGGCAACCTCCCTCTCCTCCTCCTCTCCCAGCTGTCAGGAAATCCTGGAGCCGCCCTCGCCCCGGAGCCACTTGTTTTCTAAGTGGCCGGGGATGGAGCTTTGTTTTCAAAAGAAGTAAATAAAAAAACCCCTGACACTTCAGGGGCCCGAGGGCCGCAGAGCTCGGCCCGGCAGACGGCTCGTGCCGCCCGGGGCGAGGCGGCTCCTCCCGGCGGTTCCCCGAGACCGACCCCCAGCAGCTGCCCGCAACTTGTTTGTTGGAAAGCCGGCGGGACTGGGCCGGCGGTGCTCGCCTTAGGGGCTCTCGGGTGTCGGCGCGGGGCGCCCTCCCGGGGGAATCGCGGGGCTGCGGATGCGCCGGCTTTGTCGCCCGGACGCCGGGACCCCCACCCGTCCCCGGCTCCGCGCCCCCTTTCCAGCCTGGGGCTTCCCCCCGCCGCTCCAGGTCGGTTTTTCCCGGCGACTCTGGTGGTGCCTTCCAAAGTCCCAGGGCTCTGGGCACACCTCGGGGTTTTCTCCCGCCTCCCGCCTGCGCTGCTTGGGGCCCCAGGAAGTCGCGAACGCCCCATGGGTGGTGCGTTCCGGGCGTCGCGCGGCGGAGCCAGCAAGGAAGGACTCGGGAGAGGAAGGGGCGACCCCGCCGGCAGCGATGAAGCAGTCTTGGCTGCAGTGTTGCAAAGTCACCGGCGCGGGGGGCCTCGGCGGGTCCCTGCCCGCGTCCTCTCCCGCGCGCGGAGCGGGCCCGGCCCGCCGGGCGTACGTGGCCCCCGGCCCGCGGGGCGCTCTCGGGGGCCGGGGCTGCAGGGCGCTGTCCTCGGGCGGCGGCGAGTACAAGACCCACTTCGCGGCCTCGGTGACCGACCCCGAGAGGTTCTGGGGCAAAGCCGCGGAGCAGATCAGCTGGTACAAGCCCTGGACCAAGACGCTGGAGAACAAACATTCGCCTTCCACTAGTTGGTGAGTGACTCCTGAGCCCACCCCCGGCTCGTTTGGGCGTCCAGGCTCCATGTCCCCTGCATCGGAGCCTGGAGTTCTTTTGGGAAAAGAGGATGAGACTGGAGGTGTGATCACACCTTTTAAATCCGTGTTTAATTTCAACTTCATAGTCAAGCTCTCTTGCCTTGTCTTGCGGGATTCGGTTACCTAGGGTGAGAGCCCTAGTTCCTCCCGTAGACCAGAAATTTACCTGTATGGCCAGGCTCTGCTAGTCGAGCATGAGCCAGCCCCCCAGAGACCCACAGTCTAGAAAGGGAAGCAGCCACGGCAACAGGTGCAAGCAGAGAGAAGAACTAGGAGTTTCTAAGTATCCTCACCCTGTGAGGAGGTAGAGAGTGGGTGAAAGACTCCAGTAACATCACACCTAGAGATTGGAAAAGTGGATATGTCCTCTCAAAGTTGACAAGGTCCCAGTTATTAAAGTCCAGGACGTGGAACACAGGTTGAAATTTGACTGTTGATGTGGCCGCGAACAATTGTGTTGGTGGGAAAGGGGACTGGTGAGTCAGGGGTTGATTTGGGAAAGGATTTATGCATCACACCAAGTAGGTGGGATCCGGTGCACAGCCCTATCCTGTATATGAAGCTGCAGTGTATTCCAGAGAGAATATGCAGTACATCTGCCTAGGAGATGCTAGAAATCATGGTAGAAATAAAGGTTTGTTTTTGTTTTCTTTTAGAGTTGCGATTGTAAGTAGTTATAAACACTGTTTTTGTGTTACAACAAACAAAAGATACATTTGTAGAATAAATGCCAAACTTATCAGATTCTTAAGGGTGAATCACACAGGAGGACTGGAGAGTTATGGCTGCTCTTTGGGCCATGTGCCTAGCCCTTAAGAATGTGATTGCTTTCCTCAGCCAGCCCTGAGGGAGAGAGGTTTTCTCTAGAAAAGTCTGCGCAACACTGCAGTGGGGTTTCCCACTACCATTTCCAAGTCCCCAGCAGTGAAATGGGAGAATGAGATGGTCAGGTTTGCATTTGATGAATGTCTTCTTGTTGAGAGTAGGAATCTGGAAAGGAGAATGACCTCTTGACCAGAGACTGTTCTCTGTCCCCACCATCTCTGTCCCCTCTTGATTGTTCAGAGCTGTTTACATGGATTTACCTTTAGAGTCTAGCACATTTCCCCATCCAGCTCAAGTTGTCCAATAGTGTTTGATTGATCCTCTCTTATGTACCCGTCAGCGAATCACACACTTGGTGTGCATGTGGCAAGAGGGGCGGGGAGGTGTCATGATGGTTAACAGCCTGGTTTCTGGGACCAGAAGTTTGTGTTTGAGTTCTGGCTCTTTACAGTTACTGGCTGTGTGTTCATAGGCAGGTTGCTTAATCTCTCTGTTCTTCAGTTTTGTCATATATGAATGTGTAACTAGTAAGATCAATTTAGTAAAGGATTAAGGCCAAGTCTCAAAAGAAATAGACCCTATAAATGTTAGAGTAAGAATAGCTATCTTTGCCCTCTCATTCCACAGTTATTTAAGAGCAGGAAATCTTGCTAGATCTGAGAAGATCAAAACACGGAGATGATTGTCTCACCTAAGAATGTGTTCTCAAAGTTCTGTGTCCATAAATCTGTCAAAAAGTATGGAACTGAAATTATTTATGTGACCACCGTCCCATAAAACTGTGCAGAAAACTCAAGAAATCACTGGGATACTCCAAGTAAAAACCAATGAGGGCCAGACCCAAAGTAGGGCAGTGGCGATGCAAAGAACAGGTTTCTAGAGGCTTAATTGAAGTTGGGGAGGGCTCAAGGGAGAACAAACAATGTGGAACTCAAAATGTCTACCAAATCAACCTTTAAGATCTGGAGGTTTTCCCTCTGTGTTTTCTCTCTTCTTAATTTCTAGTTGCTTGCCGGAATTTTAAAAAATTGTTTGCACAAAATTTCTGCTTTTAAAGAGGTGTTTTGCCAAAGGGTCCTTGTATGTATTTTCAAAAATTCAGTACATTGTAGGTCACAGTATTTGATAATACTGTATCTGAATTCTTCATCTTTGTACTCTTGGAATCACGTGGCTGTACCTGTTTTATAGCAGCCCAACAGATCAAAGTGAATAACAGATAAGTCTTTGAGTCTGTATTTGTTTTAGTAGTGTGATTCAGTCTTACTGAGGAGTTTGGTTGGCAGAGCAGAGTTGGAGAGGCAGGTAGACATAGGAGACCATCCATCCAATCTGAAACTCCATTCAAAAAATGGTTTTAATCTGAATCCTGTTTGCAGATATTCTTTGTTGGTTAACATTTTTCTGCAAAGGTAAACTCAGTTCAGTTCAGTCACTCAGTCATGTCTGACTCCTTGCGACCCCTTGAATCACAGCACGCCAGGCCTCCCTGTCCATCACTATCTCCCGGAGTTTACTCAAACTCATGTCCATCGAGTCGGTGATGCCATCCAGCCATCTCATCCTCTGCTGTCCCCTTCTCCTCTTGCCCCCAATCCCTCCCAGCATCAGGGTCTTTTCCAATGAGTCAACTCTTCACATCAGGTGGCCAAAGTATTGGAGTTTCAGCTTCAGCATCAGTCTTTCCAATGAACACCTAGGACTGATCTCCTTTAGAATGGACTGGTTGGATCTCCTTGCAGTCCACGGGACTCTCAAGAGACTTCTCCAACACCACAGTTCAAAAGCATCAGTTCTTCAGTGCTCAGCTTTATTCACAGTCCACCTCTCACATCATACATGACCACTGGAAAAACCATGGCTTGACTAGATGGACCTTTGTTGGCAAAGTAATGTCTCTGCTTTTTAATATGCTGTCTAGGTTGGTCATAACTTTTCTTCCAAGGAGTAAGCATCTTTTAATTTCATGGCTGCAATCACCAAAAGGTAAACTCAAGGTCAGGGCAAATGTCCACCCTGCCCTACCCCCTCGCCCCTTTATATCCCTATGTTCTAGGGCAGAACAGACATATGAATTTAAAAAGTGATAGGTAACAGGATACATGGACTTGATGATTTTTGATTCTCCATGTCTTGGGAGGTGGCAAGTGGATACAGGCACAATTTGATGTGAAGTTGCTTTGCTTACTTCTTTTTGAAGCTGGCATCTGGGGAAGGGAGATGTTGACCGCCAGTCCTTAAGTAAAATGAGGAAGGGTTGCTACAGCTAGCTGTTCTCTTTGAGGTGGAGTTGATGTAGGTGTGTAGTCAAGCTCTCTGAAGACCCATGGTTTTCCAGAGATGAGACGGATTCTTCCTCATTATACACTTGTCTGTCTATTCTTCGTGGAAGCAGACTCCCCTCTAAATCTACAGGCCTACCAAAAGCCCCAACACATAAATAGCAATGCATATTAGCTTTCACAGTGGCATAAACTACCCAATAGTAGTTTACACATGCAGTAGTATGAGCATGGAATAGAAATCTATGAGGGTGATACATCAGGGACCTTCCATTGTAGTGAATAGCCCTGTAAAATATGTTTCTGGGACTTTAATCTCTGAGATCTTTGAAAAACAAATTACATGTAGGTGCTTTAGGAACATGTGAAGAATTACCTTTCCTCATGGTTTGTTGGCTAATTCACATTGTTGACACCTAGCTTTGGGGAGAATAGTCTCTATTATAGAGACTTCAGTGGAGAACTGAATATACGGTGAAGCAATTAGAACCCCTAGTAATTCTCTAATCCTGGAACCACAGAATGGATGTTTTGGTTGTTTTCTCCTGGTGAATTAGACATCCTACTGCCTTTCCTGAAATTGAAATCCAGCTACCCCTCTCTGAAGAATTAGGCAATTCACTTTTGCATTATGCATTGTGGTTAATTTTTTCAGTCTGGGTCATTAATTATCCCTTTCTCTGGAAACATCACAGTCCTGTTTTAGTTTATTTTTATTTAAACAACATTCAATGATCAGACTCTCACATACTGTTTGATTTAGAATTTAATATGTGTTAGCAGTGACCATAAGCTAACAAAAGTCTAAATGCAGATTATTAGAAAAGGATTTCTGCTTGGTTAACATATCTACAATGGATATTGTGTAGGTACTTTTTTTTAACATGCAAGATCTAAGTTTCTGACTAGCTGTGAGGTAAATGTTGTTTTCTTAAAATGGCTTATAAGTGTTAAAGATATCAATTACTCACTCATTGTGTGTATAGGACAAAGAAAATGATGAAAGAGATGGGAGACATACAGTAAATTATTACAAAACTATTTCTTTAGAGTTGTAAGTGCTATGAAATAATAAGGGGATTTACCATAATCTTTTCTGGAAGGATCGTGGTAGGAGTCTTGAAGAAATGATGGTTAAGCTGAGATCACAATGTGTAGGGATTAGACTCAGAAGGAGGAAGGAACATTCTAGACAAAGAGAACAGCACATGAAAAGGTTGTGAGGTATGAAGTGGCTCAATAAGTTCTAGGAACTGTAAGAAGGCTAACTTGGCAGGTAATAATTAAGAAACAGACGAAGAAAGCCATATTGTGAATGATCTGGTGAGTCAAATTAAGGATTTACATTTTTTTTCCTGGCACAAAACAGGTCACATAGTGGATGATCAAAACTTGAACTTCCTACTCTTCTTTCTGCACTGGAACAAGAAGTGTTTGGGTTCAACCCCAGCTCTGCCACTTGCTTTGGATAGGCTTCAATATCCGTATTGGTGAAATAAGAGTAACGATAGTATCAATTTCTTAGGATTATGGAGGTGGGTGGGAGCATGTAAACTGTCTAGGACTGTACCTGACACACAGTACTAGTTACTGATGTTTTTGAAATCTGGAAGAGAGATTCCCAGAAGCTAGTGTGGATCAGAAAGTCTTCAGAGAAATGGTAGCATTTGGACTCAATCTTAAAGTAGGATTTAGAGAGAGAGAAAAATACTTTTTGTGTGCAGAAGAAAAATTCTGTGTGCAAACCAAACACGACAGAGGCACAGAGGAGAGAAAGAACCAAATGTACTTGTAGGTCAGAATGAATAGCAGATCAGTTGGCTTGTAGTA